CCCCCGCCCCCCAAAACAGTTACTTAAGAACCTAAAATCAAAACTTGAGGTTAGATTTCAGGTTGCTTGGGTCCACATCTAGTACTCTTCCAGCTAAGCAGCACATGTTGCTCAGCTTTCTGTAGCCTTTGTTAACATGCAGTTCTTAGTTTCCTCACCTTTTAAGGTCAGTCTAGGTTCTGTGACATCTGTGAGATAATATTTAAATGTCCATATTTTCTTTCAATTTAACAGAAGAGTAGCAGCTCTGAATCATTAAGTGACAAAGGCTCTGAATTGAAGAAAAGCTTTGATGCTGTGGTATTTGATGTTCTTAAGGTTACACCAGAGGAATATGCGGTAAGCCTTCTGTCTCTCCTGGCTCCAGTTTTTGCATATAACTTACATACTGATGCTATTGAGTTAGGATTTGTAACCTCAGCAGAGGAGGAGATGGTTAAAGAAGCTGGGTATGGGAATTTTGGGGGAATAGCACAACTGGAACAAGGGGGAGGATGGCATGGAGAAGGTAAGAAGAACTGCCTAGTGTTTTTAGAGCAGCTTCATAAGTTAGACCTTTAGTTTAGTAAGTAATAGATTATTTCCTTTCATTGCTACCTATGCTATCTTCCCAAGTCAGTTGTACTTTATTGACATATCAAAGAAGTATTTTTACTGTTTGGTAAACAAAAAATTGAGAAATGAGGGATTCCACCTCCTGGGTCCCCTTCTTCCTCCGGGAGAAGTCTTTTCTGCTGTCCTTTAATAAATTTCTAATTTCTACTCTGAAAAAAAAAATTGAGAAATGAAATATGAAGATATCATTGGAATATTGTGACAAATATCTAGAAAATCTTTTATTTATTAACTGACATATTCATTTATATCTACTTTAATCTGTTAACAGGATACATTGATTTTTATGATATTGAACCACTCTTGTATTCCAGGAACAAACTGTGCTTGATCAGAGCATATAATTTTTTGATATATTGTTAAACTTTGTTTTATATTTATAACCATAACCTTAACTTACAAAGTCCATATAATATGTTGCCTTTTAAATGTAGTATCAGTACTTATTATAAGTGAGGAAGAAAACCCTTTTTGGGGGAGTTACTGGGGATTGAATCCAGGAGTGCTTTACCACTGAGATACATCCCTAGTCGTTTTTATTTTTATTTTGAGACAGGTTCTTGCTAAGTTGTTAAGGTTGGCCTTGAACTTGGACTCTCCTGCTTCAGCCTCCTCAGTCACTGGGATTACCACACCTGCCTAGGAATAAAACCTTTTTATTTATCAATTTTCGATGAGCAGTTGAGGAGTGATAATTTAGTCAGTTTTACAATATTGCTCTATGAACCAATAGACATGATTTTGTTTTTTGATTTTTTTTTAATTATCTTTATTTTCTAATTTTACCTCATTTGTCTCAAGAAAATACAAATAGCTATCAGCTAAATAGAAATAATTTTATTTAATGGACTAAATAATTTTTAATTATAAGGGCTTTCTGTAAGCCCTTATAATTAAAAATTATTTAGTAATATTTTAGTACAGAATAAATTTTTTTACTTAGAATATATGTCATGTCATGGAATTCCAAAGAACAGATTAATGTTGGTGTTTTTTATTTCAGGGTCAGATAACGCTAATGGATGTCCCAGTATTTAAAGCTATTCAACCAGATGTAAGTAGTTTTAAGAATGTTTCTTTTTAATATAGAAAATGATAAACTATAGTATCTTAAATGAAAACATTTTAGAAATGTCAAATTATATTTAATATTTAATTCTAAGATGTTTAAAGCTTTTGCCATAACATCTTAACGTTATTCAGGCCTCTGAAACATGGCATTCATAACTATGCATCATTGAATCACAGATGGAACTGTGTTGAAATTTTGGAGAGAACAGAAAGTGTCAGGGAACCACATTTTGACTATATGCAGGGTTGTGTGTGTGTTGAGTATTCCTTTCATTTTCACAACCTGGGCATGGCAGCATCTCCATCTTACTGATAAGGAAACAGGTGACAGTTATCCTTGATTTGCAGCAGTCTTAGTCCATTTTGTGTTACTGTTAGAAAGTGCCTTGTGCATTATAAAGAAGAAAGACTTATTTAGCTTATAGTTTTGAGGGCTGAATGTCAAAAATCAGAGGACACCCTATCTAAACACTGATCCTTCAGTGAGGGTCAGTTCTTGTGGCTACCTCACAACATGATAGAGGAGTAGAAAGGAAGACCAGCCATGTAGAGCAGGGGCCAAGCACATGAGGTGTCTAACTTATAACATCCCACTCTTTTGAGTATTCCCATACACTTTGAGACCAAAAATTCCTAAGGTGGTACTCCATGACCTAATCACCTCCCACAGGGTTCTACCTCTTAAAACTTACCACCTCCCAATACAACAATGCTGGAAAGCAAGCTTCCAGCACATGAACTTCTGGGGGAACACACGAAAACCATATCCAAACCACAGCAACGACTAACGGCTGAGACTGGGTTTCAGATTCCAAGAACTGATGCTTTTCCCACTCTTATCAAGTAAGAATATAAATAGTATTGTGTGCCTCAAAATAGTCCTTGATAATCCTGAAATTCAGTAATGTAGCATAGATTGTTTAGCTCTTTAGGGATCAGAATGTAGTCTTCTGTTGTGATATATTACAAATCTATGGTGTCCCTGAACACTACAATGACTGTAATGAGTTCCCTCATACATGTAATATAAATGGTATTAGTCCAGTAATTTTTCAAGTAAGTTACTTAATCACCTATAAAATGAAGAGGTGGGCCCAAAGATTTCTGAGTCCCTGTCATCTCCCTAATGTGCTTTCCTAACCTTTCTCTCGTAATACAGAAACTTATCTAAAGAGAATCATTGGATTAGCAATAGACAAAAATAATATATTCCACAAATAACATCAATAGAAAATGGTTTTAGTATTCAGATGCCAAAAAGTAAAACCTTAATTTCCTCACCTTTTTGAACAAAACCAAAGAAATGAAATTCTTTATAAAAATTACTTTTTTTTTTTTTTTTTGGGCCCCAAAATTCAGGGATCTTCTCCTTTGACTTTTGTTTTTTTTGCCTTTAGAATAAACTGCAATACTTATATTGCTGTTTTCATATGAAAGTAGTGCTGTTCAATGGAAATAGGTCATTTGGAGGTCTAGTAACCACATTATAGAGTAAAAAGAAATAGATGAAGTCAGTTTTAATAATTTTATTTGACCTGTTACATTTAAAATATCATTTCAATTTGTAATCATGATAAAAATTAAGATATTTTGCATTTTTTTCTGTATTAAACCTTAGATATTCAGTATGTTTTACAATTACTACACTTCTTTATTCAGAAGAACCATATTTCAAGTGCTCAGTACCCATTTGTAGCTAGGTGTTTGGCTACCACTACTTAAAGACATACACTTCTCTTCTAAGGGAATATTTTGTTTCCCCTAATAGTGCTTTGTGAACCTTAAAATTCCCTTGATTTTACTCCCTCAATAGCATTCAACACCAATCTCATTGATTATTTTTTTTAACTTTCTGCATATCTTATTTATCTCTACTACCAACTCCCCAAGATGCCATCTGCTCCTAATTGTATTACTGCAGTTCTCTCTTACCTGATCTATGATGTTCTACTCTGACCCCGAAAGTAAGTTTCTCTTCTCTACCTGGGAGCCATTGTAACCCTCTCTGGCCATGTAACTGTGCTCATGTGATTTCTCTGCTTAAAACACCAGTGGTTTCCTGTTGTTCTGAGGATAAGGATAAACCATCATAATAGAATCTCCAGCTCACTTCATGGTTTTGCCTCCTCCTTCCTTCTCCAAACTTATCCTATACCTTTTCTACTTCTTTTTGCTCTCATTTGCACTGGCCTTCTTTTAGTCCCTCTCACCACTGAGCCTGTAAACATCCTAGTTAACTTGTCTCATCAAGTTTAACTTTCTCAGGTAAGCTTTTTTGTTTTCCTGCAGGCTCTTTTGACACTCCTCTTCTTCATTGTTCTTGTCATTTGCAGTTTTCCATTTTGTGTTGTGATGCAGCAAGTACTTAACTGAATGCCTGTCACATATTAGGTACTAGTTTTCTGATTCAGGTTTTAAGTAGTCTCTCTGACCACTGACCAGGGTGTATGGGAAAGAGCATAGGTAGGGAAGAAGTGCCAGGGAATCACGGAGACAGGTGAGAAATGAAGATAGCTTGGCTCAGAGTAGGAGTGGTAGAGTTAGAAGTGGTCAGCATATATGCTAGAGGAGCCAAGGGCAATGCCAAAGTTTTTGGTCTTACATCAGAAGCATGTAGTTGGCATCCATTCATATAGAACATAAGGTAGAATGCAGCCCTGTGGAGAAAGGCTGGAGGAACAGATTTAGAGCCCAGAGCTGGAGTTGAATGTCCTTATTTCCTATGTCTTTTAGATACGCTGGGAGAATGTTCGATTAAGCAGTATGTGCTGGCATATGTTTCCAATCCAGGCAGGAAATATAAGTTTGAGAGATGCCACTGTAGAGAGAGATGGTGTTTAAAGGGAGGATGCAGGGCAGGGGGGAAGCTCCATGGTAGAGCATGCAGGTATTAGCATGTATGAGGCCCTGGGTTCAATCTCAGAATGAATGACTATATCCTCCCTTTGGGGTAAACACTGACCAATATTGGTCTTTATCATTCCTGACTATTTGGCTATCAGAAACAGGACTTTGCCATCTGGCAGAAAAATGTTTCTTAATTTAGTATGAAATATGGAAGACATATCACAGAGTATAATAATTTTTAGGTAAATTTCTGTATACCTAACCAGAAGTTCATCTGTATCCTCCCTATGAGGTAAACACTAACTAATATTGGTGTATATCATTCCTGTCCTGTTAGTTATGTCTCTTCTATATGTATAGGTATCCCTTAGTAATATATATTATTGCAGGTTTTAGATTGTTTATATAAATTTTATCTTATGGCTTTTGTATTTGGTGTGCTTTTCATGTTCAACATGGTTGATTAGAATTTACATTGGTACATGTGCTCTAGTGCATTAATCACTGGCTGAGGGGATGAATATCTTTAAATTTATTAAATACTGCCAAATGTTATCTAAAATGGTTGTATAAGTATTATTTTGTCAAGCTATTGCTACTGATAAATTTCATGAAAGATTGCTTAAGCTCTCTATTAGTCTCACGTATTAGTCTCATTAGCATAAAATAGTGTCAATCTCCTCGTGTATGCAGTTAGAATATTGCATTCACTAAAGAGTGAAGAAATTCTTGTTAAATCAAAATTAAACCTCAGATGTTATGAAAAGTAGTGGTTGTCTTGTGAGGCTGTAACTAGTAAATTTATTTTTATGTTCTGTCCACTATACCAGTTATTAAATCTGTATTAAAACTTAATAAAAGCTATGCATACACTTTGTGAAACTACTTGAAAGATCATTAGTTAAGTTGTACCAAAACTACTCAAATCAGAGCCCATTTTTATGTATATACAGTTGGCCCTCTGTTTTTCTGGGATTCACATTTATAGATTCAACCAAACAAGGATCAGAAATATTTGAGGGAAAATTGAGTTTGTACTGAACACATAACAATCTTTTGTTATTATTCATTCCTTAAACAATACAGTATAACATCTATCAAATAGTATTTGCTTTATATTAGGTGTTATAAGTAGTATAGGGATGATTTAAAGTCTGTTGGAGGATGTTCCTAGGTTATGTGCAGATACTACATCATTTTATATAAGAGAGTTGAGCATCTGTGGATTTGGGTATTCAAGGGGGAAAGGTGCTAGAATCAGTCCCCCATGGATAAGAAGGGACCACCATATCATATGTATCCATGTGTAACTTTATTTCAGGTGGTGATTTATTCACATTTACTATGTGTTGTGATCCCTTTCACATAAGACCAGGCTTTTTGCTATTCACCTCCCCAACCACCACCACCAAAAAGTAGCCTTTTCCTTTTGGTGATGGAGAGAAAACACAGTAATGGTTGCTAAAATTATAAAGATAGTGATTACAAAGAAGACATGGTATAAGTCCTGTAATCTACACTGAACCATTACTAACACTCCTTCACAACTCTTATTAGTTGTTCTTTCTTTCTTTTTTGGGGGGGGGGGCGTACCAGGAGCATATAACCACTGAGCAACATCCTCAGACCTTTTTAAATATCTATTTAGAGACAGGGTTTTCATGAGTTGCTAAGTGCCTCATTAAGTTGCTGAGGCTGGCTTTGAACTCTCTATCCTCTTGCCTCAGCCTTCTGAGCTGCTAGGGTTATAGGTGTGCACCACCACCATGTCTGATGGTCTTTTCTTTAAGCCAGTTTGGGGGCGCATATTACTATTTTGCTGACTCCTGCTTTTAAATCAGTGTCCAACATATAGTTCTGAATGGGTGCTTAGAAAATTTTTACTAAATTTTACTTCATAAAATCTAGTGGCAAAACCACTGGAGCCATGAACCAGAAGATCTGTAGATTTATCTCAGCTTTGCAATTAATACATTGTAATGTAATATATTTTTTAATCTTTAGCCTTTAATTTCTTTTAAAAAATTATTTTTTTAGTTAGAGATGAACACAATACCTTTGTTTTATTTAGTTATTTTTATGTAGTGCTGAGGTTCAAACCCAGTGCCTCACATGTGCTAGGTAAGCGCTCTGCCA